CCATGTCAGATGTTCCTATTAAGATAACATGCCATGTGAGTAAAAATTAATAGATGGACCAAAAAGGGATCAAATTTTAAACTTTAAGGACAAAAAAAGAGCTTTTTTCAATACAAAGACCAAGAAGGAGCTTTTTACAATGGTAGAAGGACCAAAGAGGAGTCAAATTTTAAGCTTTAAGGATCAAAAAAGAGATTTTTTCAGTACAAAGACCAAGAAAGGGCTTTTTTCAATGGTAGAGGGACTAAAAAAGGGTACTTAACCTTTTTTAATCCTAAAACTTTTTCTTTAGCTCCAATTATGTCCCTCTGTCAATCTGTTGATGATATGACAAATTTTCCATTAAAATTTTCATTTCTTTTAATTATTAAAAGCTGATGTGAAATTTTCAGAAGTGGATGTTAATTGTTTTTTTTTTTAAATCTTAAATTGTATAATAAAATACAGTTATCACCTTTTCCTTAAATTACTTCACTCATATATCGTACAACTCAAATTTAAAATTTTTTATTTTCATTAAAAGGAGATTATTAAATTATTTAGATTGTTTACACTTATATGTTACCATTAATTAAGTCCAAATAGGCAGATGTTATTGTTGATTAAGCGGTTGGCTTTACTGCTAAATGGTGCCACTTACCTTTTTTTATTGGATTGTTCCACACCCTAAAATCATTTTTTTTTTTTACTATAGGAAACATGATTAGTGTTGACGACCACTTCAGATTTTTTTCAAAATAAATGAAAAAAATCAAGTGTAAAAAATATAAGGAAAGGGAGTCGCCACTCGTCCAAATTATAAGGTGGGACAAGTCACCTAAAACAGGTCTACGCAGAAATCGGGGTTCAAGGGTTCGGTTAGGAGTGAGAAAGGACATACGCGCACCTCACAATCCTCCGTTTAAACATGGTTGCATACTTTAACATTGGGGTTTTAATTCAACTTAATCATCATGTTTATGTTTGAGTCTTAATAGGTAAGCCTGAAAAAGGGATAGACCAAATTGAAACATTTTTAAAAATTTTGGGCTAAAAATGGACAAAATCAAAGACATGCATGCACAATAAACACACATGAAAATTAAATGGATTGACTTGACTAAATTCAAAACATAAAGGACTAATTTGAAAAGAGTTGAAACCCATGGACTGAATTGCTTAATTATAAAAGTTTTGGGTAAAACTTAAAATAAACGAAGATAATTTTAACTATGACCAACATTAAAGTTAATTGAAAATTGAAATTAATTAATTGAGATAATTAGTCTAATGAAATAATTAACTTAACATTAATTAAAATTAA